AGAAGACAACGAACAACTGGTCCATAATCTGTCCTCCAAAGAACTGAAGCCAGAAAAGATTAGAGTGCTGCAACGCGGTGCTGGTTTCAACAACTCGGACGCCGACCCGGTTGACCTTGTGGCCGCCATCCAGTCGGTCCTTAAACACACGCATGAGCCCGGAGAGACACAAAACCTGATTCGGCAGCAGACCATCTCACTTGTTATGACGCACAAACGCCGCCCTGTTATCCCGAGAACGGAACGGGATGCCCTGAGGACGCTGAAGGCTGACAAGACGATAGTCATACTACCAGCAAATAAAGGGCATTCTACGATTGTACTGGACAAGGCTAAATACCTGCATAAGGCCAACACACTGCTTGAGGACCGCCCAGCATACCAAAAGTGTGAAGGTGACCCAATGAAACAGTTTTTAACACAAATTAACTCAACACTCATTGTGCTGCAGAACAATGGTGCGATGATCAGAGCGGAACGATTGGCCATCAAACCAAACGATGCAGCGATGGCAAGACTCTACTAGCTACCCAAAGTTCACAAAGGGGGTACTCCACTTCGGCCGATCGTGTCATTGCGCGGCACACCCACATTTAATCTGGCAAAATGGGTTTTTTCGAAGATTGAATCCCCTCACCTCGGGCTCTGATACGACAGTCCGATCAGCCACGGATTTCTTGGAGAGACTTACTGGGTTACACCTCGAGGTTGATGAGATCATGATATCATTCGACGTCACCTTACTGTTCACCACGATCCCACAGAGCCTGGCTATTGAAACTATAAGCAACCTACTTGACACCCGCTATTGAGAGACAGCCAAAACACCTCAACGCGGACATTTCATGCAGTTGGTGAAGTACTGCCTCAAAGCCTACTTTACCTTCAAAGGGACGGTGTATGAGCAAACCAAAGGTACACCGATGGGATCATCACTATCTGGTTTCATCGCCGAAGCAGTCCTCCAGAGGTTAGAAGCAGTAGTGTTCGCCACACACAAGCCAAAGTTTTGGGCGCATTTTGTAGACGACACTTTCGTCATCCTAAAACGGGAAGCAGTCACGAACTTCCATGCCCTCCTCAACTCAATTTTTTCCGGATATTCAATTTACAATGGAGGCGGAGATCGACGGGCAGATGGCGTTCCTGGACGTATTGGCTCATCACAAGACTGAAGGGAACCTAAAGACGATGGTTTACAGGAAAGCCACCAACACGCGTCAGATACTGAACTACCAAAGCAACCACCCGTTGTGTCATAAACGCAACTGTGTACGAAGTCCGTACAAAAGAGCTGAAAATCACTGCGGCGAAAGAGCCGACAAAGTGGCCGAACTCCGCTATCTACAGCTGATGTTCACTACCAACGGATACCCCGGAGCATCATAGAGTGCAGTAGACGGGTCAACCCAATAAGAAAACCAACGGTCAACCAAACAACGAAAAGTCTGGCGGAAGCTACCTTATATTGCAAACGTGTCTGAAGCAGCCGCTCGACTCCTGAAACCATTAGGCATCGGCATCGCCCATAGACCCGAAGCGATAATCCGATGATTGATAATGAAACCAAAGGCTCCTTTATCCCGAGGTGAAACGGCCAACGTCGTGTACCGGATCAAATGTAGTTCCTGCGAAGTGAATTATGTCGGAGAAACGGT